AGAGCCAGGCTAGTAAATAATAGCCCAAGGTAAAACAAATTAAAAATCCGGTAACACTTTATAATAACTACACCTTATTTAGGCTTAATAAATGTTGAAATAACACTTAATTTAACATGAACAATTCATTAATTGTGATTAACACTTCATAACTACTACAGTTAATAAATGCTTAACTCATAATGAATACATCTTCAAGTACTTCACTTGTTCATGATTATTCAATAGGTTAATAATTATGAAGTAACCATTTGTTACTACATATATAGATGGTTTGTTACACCACATGTCAATGATTAATAATTGTATACTTGATTATAAACAAATACTGCAGTGCATGATTTATTCAGCCAGTTACTAACAGTTTGTTAAGAGTTTTGTGAGCTTTTGTAAAGTGTACAATATTTAGACTTTTACACATTTGTTATAGACCCTTTAGTATGACAATTAATCATTCATTATTACTGCAGTGCATGACTTATTAGTCAGTTACTAACAACTTCTTAAGGGTATTTGTGAGAAAAAAACACAAGGATGACCAACATTTTTGCAAAACAATAATAAGCCATGAGACATGAGTACAGAATATATATTTATCTTTTAAATTGCTTTACAAAGCTATAACGGGCCCATAACAATGAAATAAAAAGAAATAGAAGGCCTCCATATCGCCCCCATGAATGAAATATACATGTAAACAAGAACAGCTCTAGTGTGGAGCGTCCTCTTCCAACAGATGAACATACAAAGTCATATACCATCAAACTTACAAGTAGAAGTCTTTAATATCTTGCCTTGAAAGGCAGCAGCTTTCCTGAGGCCTTAAAACTTCTGACCATTTCCTCAACCTCTGCATCTTCTGAAATGGCATGTGCACACTGATTAGCAAAGACTGACAGCTTTGTGGTACTGGTGTCATTTTTCAGAAGCTCCTTGAATTTTGCTGGCGCCACAATGGACAGCTCAACAATTGGAGTTGTGATTACAATGTTTCTATCCACACTTAATTTTTTAAAGGCCGCTGACATGGTTCCACCTCTTTTGAAAGGCTTCAGAACATTTTCATATCTTCTCACGACTTGCTTTGGCCTTTGAGCTGGAAATAAATAAAAGTGAAACAATAAAAGAGAGAATTCATAGTAATAATAGAAACAATAATGAGGCAGGTCCGGCTGCAAACCCCCTCGTGATTCACTTTTACTGTGTTCATTTGTTTTGTCTTTATTTGAGCATCTTTGTTTCACAAGGTGGACATTGAGGAAACAGATCAGCATGGCAAGTAAAGCGAGAGAAAAGAAACATTACATAAAATAAATAAATGTACAAATGAGAAAGATACCCAAAAGGAGTAGGCAGAAGCAAAGTTTAGAACAGCCTGCTCCTTTGACGTTCACGGTTGAGCAGTCAAATTACTGTGCATTTATTTGCTATATCCAAATGTGAATGGTCAGTGCTTTATTTTTGTTTACATTTCTGCGTGTGCGTCCAAGCCCGAACACACAACGTGTGCGTGTGCCTGGTTATGAATGTATCTCTAGGTAACGTGTGTATCATCCATGTCAACCCGTCCTGTCCTGGACTGTCCTGGGTGGTTTACAACTCACTTTGTGCATATTGAAAAAATATTCTCTGCTTATAGCCTCGTTTAAAACTTTCTAAGGAAGTGCAATTTTTAAGTTCGATATCAAGATTGTTCCATAGGTCAACCCCACATCTTAACAAACCTTTGTTTCATTGTGGTACGAACATACTGCTTTGTGAAATTAGTTTTGTGTCTGAGATTGTAGTAGTAGTAGTAATCTTTATTTATATACCGCCTTTTCACTGCACATTGGAGTCTCAAAGCGGTTTACAATTGTTATTTTTGGGAGTGGGGGTGCCAGTACAGGAGGCACATGCCAGACCTATTGTACATATTTTTAGTGGTAGGGGAAACCGGAGCACCCGGAGGAAACCTACGCAGACACGGGGAGAACATGCAAACTCCACTCAGAAAGGCCCTGGTCCAACCGGGATTCGAACCCAGGACCTTCTTGCTGAGAGGCGAGAGTGCTATCCACTCAGCCACCGTGCCGCCCATGTACATGGTCTTTATCACTAAACATTTGTTGGATTATATTTGGGAGCATGATATTTGCTTTATTCATTATTAGAGTTTTGAGTTTTATTAAGTCCTCAAGTTTCAGGACCTTTGATGTCAAGAACAGTAGCTTCGTATTTTCTCCAACCAGCATTGTGAATAATACCTTTTCTGTTGCATGAAGAGACACCGCTTATCTGTTCTGTATTTGTATTATTTAGATGTGTGTGATTCCCATGTCATCTTATGGTCGAGGTGAACACCTAAAAAGTGTGCTTGTTAACTATTTATATAGGTTAATTTTTATTACAGCATTTGTGGATTCTTTTTACACCCAAATATCATTTGTTTTTTTAAGGTTTAGTGAAAGCTTGTTTTCATTAAACCAATTTGTCATTTTATCCAATTCAGTGGAAGCCTCGACCAGTAACTGTGGAAGGTCTTTGCCCTTCTTGTTTCCAAATATGTTAAAGTTCTATACGACAGGAGGGATGCACTGTTACGATACTGGTATTGGAGCCAATAATGTTAAAATTACAATACAAAAAAGCTGGATCGGTGCATTTCATCTCATAACAAAAAAGGGTTACCAAAAATCAGGACCGTACACAGACAAAGACTGTACAATGGACCAGCAACAAAGGGAGATGAACACAGGGTACATATAGACAGAGACACGAGTGAAACACATCAGGGCGGGGCAGACAATCAACACAAGGGGACAAGACAGGAAGTCAAACTAAAACCAAAGCACAAAACTGATTACAAAATAAATCCCAAGTACAAAATAACAAAAACAGAATTGAGTTCATAAATGGATTACACTATAGAAGGGGCACCAGATGGAATTCACCTGAACAACATTAATCATGATGAAATGTATTATTTATTGATTTGAATTAATTAATTCATTATTCTATTTAATCAATAAATAAAATGATAACACCAAGGCTGATTAACACATTCAAGTTATGTGTTTTTTAAAATGAGGACCCCAAAGCAGAGATGAGAGCAGGCTTGACGAAAAACAAAGATTTATTTACAGTCCAAAAACAAAAAGTAAAAATACAAAGTTTACCGTTGTTGCTAACGGATCGTAGGGGATTTAGCGCCACAATCTTTTCCAGCGATTACAATTGGGGAACACCGGACTCGGAACACGTACCTCCAAACGCCGAGGGCCCCGGTGTTCCCGACTGCCGGGCCTCCGCTCATAGACATTTATTGCTGCGCGCGATAAGGGAGCAACAAGCGGCTTTCGCTCATAACTAGCTATAGGGCTAACTGAATACTTTATATCAGTGTCTCCCAAAGGGGGTCTGCGGCCCTGGTGGGCCCGCGAGGGACTGCAGGGGGGCACGGGAGGGTCATAAAAAAATATATATATATATTTAATGTTAAATTTATAATTTTATGTTTGTACTCATAAAATATTTGGTTCATGTATTTACTTGAATAATCTCACTGTAATACATTTTTGTATTCTGTTCACCACCGCAATGTCTACAAAATGATAAAAAAATGTCTTGTACCATTTCATGGTCTTATGGAGAACACTGTAGTACCCTATTAGTGCATCCGATAAGTCCACTCCACCCATGTATTTGTTATATTCCAATATAGCATCAGGACATGGCACTTGCATGGTTCTCCATTCACCATGGTCCTTTACCTTGCGTTTCACGGTGTTGCCACTGAATGCTTTGTGAACAGAGGAGCACATCGTCACCTCTCGCTTGTCCATCCACTTCAAGAACAAGAGGCTGTCCTTGCGCAGCCACCGCATGTCTCCTCTTGGAGCGGTTTTGGGGAGGTCATTCTGTGTCGTAGTTGGAAACCCAGTGTGGTTTTTCCTAATTGTTCCACATGCCCCTGTATTTTTTTCTAACAAGTCTGTAAATAACACTGGACTCGTGTAAAAATTGTCCACGTACAGCTTATACCCTCTTCCAAGGAGACCAAAGGGCATTAGGTCCATTACTGAACTATAAGTTAGTCCATGTTCCGCTGTGGTTGCGCGCTTTCCTGAATACACAAAAAAGTTCCATGTGTAACCGCTCTCAGAGTCTGCCAGCACATACAACTTGTACCCCCACTTTGTGGGCTTGTCCCGGTGATACTGCTTCATGGAAATGCAGGCCTTAGATGCCACCATGCGTTCATCTATGCATATGTTTTGTTTTGGGTGGAAAAATGCCTGGCAGGATGTTACAAGTTCTGTGTACATAGGTTTGATTTTGAATAGTCTATCATACTCTGCTGTGTCTCTTTTGCGGTTGTTTTCTTCATCCTCTTCTGGATCGCTCAGGTGTAGTGTCCAAACAATGTTCTCAAATCTGTCCCGGGTCATCGAGTTTGCTGGAAAAGGGTGCCCATAGGGAAAGATTTTCCTCCAGTAGTCCGACCGGTCATGCAGTGGAACGAGGCCTGTATAGATTATAATGGCAAGAAAAATATAAAAGTCCTTCACAGTAAGAGGTTTCCAGTGGTCTTTTTTCCCTGCCTCTTTTCGTCTCACTGCATTGCAGTTTGTGTTTTTGATGATGGTGTTCACCATTGTGCTGCTGAAAAATAGCTGGAACAACTGCAAAATTGTCCATGATTTGCTGATGTCCAGCACAGGTCCAGTATTTCTGGCTGGGACAAAGTGTGGGCATCTTGGTTGTGAATCCTCTTCATCTTTGTCCCTCCAACGATCTTCGTCAGAAGTAATGCTTTTCCTGCCTCCCCGTTTAGCAGTGGCCTTCTGTGGCCTGGCAGGAGGATGACCTTGTCGGGGAGCAGCCGAATCCACAGCCGAATCACCATGTTCTGTTGATGAGTCTGGAGCTTGACGGCTGTAGAACAAAAGGTACACAGACGGTCACCAATTTGCATATCAATGCATTTCCAATTCACCTTGATGCTGTAACTACTGTTCTCACCTCTGCTTTCTGGAGGTTGAAAGCTTTGGCCTTCTTGACACCTTTCCTGAAGACTCTTGTAAAGGTGGGTGATAATCCTCTCCTTCGTCCTCCTCGTCTTCCTCTCCACTTGTGAAGTATCTGGGCTTCTTGGCTACTTCACGCCTTGGCCTCTCTAAACCTCTGGGGGAAGGGCTTCCTTCCTTCTCCATAAGGCTATGACAAAATAAAGAGATAAATGAATAAAAAAAGCCATGTCAAATATGCAAATAATGTTTTGGTTGGAACAGAAATTCAGTTTAGACTCCTACCTCATGGGAGGTAAGTGAACATGTTCAGTGTCTTCCTCACTGCTGTCCTCCTGCTCCCTGCAACAAAAATATATGCATAAAAAACTCATAGTATGTCTCAATAGAAAAATAGAATCATTGTTTTTGTTAGACAACAATGCAAAATAGTAACCTACCTTCGCTTCCCAGTTGACGGGGGCAGGCCAGATGGACCGGGTTGTGGAGATAGTGGCTCTTCATGCAACTCCCTAACACTGTTGAACAAAAACATGCAGTTCAGATGTGTAGACAATACAACATTTATACATGTATGACAATAAATATATCATGGCTGATGCTAAGCACTACAGTAAATACAATAACAGGAGCCCCTTCTTCGAACCTTATAATGCAATAATAATGATGTAATCAAAATATGTAAATTAGATATTTTTTAGAATTACATTATCTGTCTGTCTATCTATAATAATATGTTATTACTTTTTATTACTATGTAATAATAAAAAGGAAGAAAAAAATAATAATAATTATATATATATATATATAATTATTATAATTTTTTTCTATATATATATATATTATATATATATATATATATATATATATATATATATATATATATATATATATATATATATATATATATATATATATATATATGTGTGTATGTATAATGTATTTTATATTTACCTCTTGTGAAGAGAATCGCCATCATGCTCAGGGGCACCATCCGTGTCGCTATCTGATGCAAACTCGCTGTCTGTAGAGTCATCGAGAAAAACTTTGGCACCCGGTTCCCTAGCAAGAAGCTCTACAATCTCCTCGCGTGTATAACGCTGTTTTGCCATCAAAATTCCGAGTTCTGCTCTACCTGCCGTGCGTAAAGGGTTTGCGCACAGATGGCCCTCCTTTTCCCCCTACTTTACGCATGTCCACGCCTCCGCGGTACTTTGGCCAATCAAGGCATGTCATACCATTTTGGAAAGAAGACACCTTCGGCTATCAAAAACCATTGAAAACGTATTGATGGACAGCACCTGTGGCCAATCACAGGAAGAGATACACAGAGGTACGTGACATGACGCACGGGTGCAGCCTATCACAAAGGGCCTCTTACAGAAGGTGGAAGTAACAGATATCTGCCAGATTGCTAGAAAGCCTCGCTATGAGGTTGAATACAAGAAAAAACGGACTTTTATTCCTATGGAAATGACTTGTGATGAAAAAACAGCAAAAGTAAGTCGACTTTTACTTCAACGCTGATGTTTTACTGCTTTGTTTTCTGGCATTCGTCTGCGGCGTGGTCAGCGAGTTTTAGAGGTAGCGTTACCAGCCTTATAGCATTGTGTTCAGCTCGGGGAGGGCTTTCTAATGGTGTGCTGACAGCAGTGCTACTTATTGTTTTGAGGGCGCTTGTGACGCCAAAACAAACATTTGATTCGACATGTGCTTTATGACGATTTGTCAGATTGTGGTTTGTTGTTTGAACCTGGGTCTGTTGAACTGAAATTGAAGTGGATAATGTTGTAGCTGAGAGTTGTCCGAACACGAGGATGTGAAACATGTGATTGTCAGTTGTTGTATCTGTCAGCTACGGTCCGGACAAGCTGCAGTAAGGGGGGGGCGGACCCCAAATGGGGGGCAATCGGGCTGAAGAGGTTAAAATTAAAATGAAAAAGGCTGTTCTGTTGTGAATGCTTTGAGAGCGTTGTCAATCTTTAAGACGAGGAATAGCTGGTTGTTCTCGCTTCACGCTGTGTGATATGATATTGGACAAAATTGTTCAGCCAATAAACAGGACTATATTTGAAGCAACTAGGAACGTGATGATGCTCAGGGGGTTATATTATTATTATAATTATTATTATTATTATTATTCCCCCCACTGCGGAGCCAATAAACTTTTAAATATTTTTGAATTCTGAGCGTTTCCAATTGTATTTAAAAATGGGAAACCTAATTAAACAATCATGAATTGAGCTTTTCCGATCTTATTTTACACTGATTCCTTTGATCATTTTTTTCTTAAAGTTCAAGTTGTAAAAATGCTATGTTTGAATTGGTTATTTACATTTTAACTGTGAGTGACACGTAAGGCGGGACAACAATGCACAATGACGCACGCATTCTGAATAGAATAATATGTATTAATATCTCTAAAACTAAAAGAGCATATTCAAGTTTTACAACAAAAACTACGTCATATGCGTGTCCATTATGCTTAAAAGCACAGTGCCCTCAGCAAAACCACGTATTTGGAAAAACTATAGGCTAACAGATGTAGTAGCTCTAGTTTCAATCGTCCTCATTTTATTCAGTCAGACTTGTCAAATATAGATGCCCATGGGAGAGTGAGCAAGGGGAGATAACATGCCCATAACATGCCCAAAAATATCCTGCATAGACTCAAGCTGCGATCAGCTGAAATATGAGCACACAAAGAGCGAGAGGGAAAAAGAAAAGTAAATAGGCTTAGGCTAGTTAGTATTTTTTCTCTCACAAAAGTTGGCGCGGATCATATGCCATCTTTCGTGGAGGAGGAAACATCAAACATCAAAGGGCACACGCGGGGAACAGCGGGACTAGTCTCGTTCTTGAAGTCCCGATGTTCCCCCACTTCTGTTGGCGGGGGAACATCGGACCCGGGGAACATTGGGACTTTTTAATACGCGAAGTACCAATGTTCCCCGGGTCCGATGTTCCCCCGCCTATAGAAGTGGGGGAACATCGGACCCGGGGAACATCGGTACGCACCCCGTCCCTAGCATGGATCACGGCCCGAGAGATAGGAGCAGCCAAAAGCAGTAAACGTCGAATATACGTTTTAATTAGGACATAAAAGTTAATTGTAATAACATTTCAGGCGGGAAATATACCCCACTAATGTCATATCAGAGGTCTGTTTGGTGATTAAATAGATATTTAAATTTTTGTCGGACTTTTTCCCTCCAGCGCGGAGCTCCAATGCTAACCGGCTAACCACGGGTGTTGAGCGGCGCTGAACACCGGTGAACCCAAGGAGGCTTTTGTTACAGACTTTCTCTGTTGTTATAACGATTGTATTTAGAGTAATCATTAATACAATTGATATATTTGCTATGGCCCTCGTTTGTGCATTTGAAGTCATTTTGAAGGTGCATTGTGTCACTGTAGTGAAGTTATTAGAAAACGGATCAATTAAATCAGCATTGTCTGCTACTTAGTACTTAATATATTCAGATTCCCAAGTGATTAACCCCCCTGTGATTTCACAAGAGAGGGTACATTTCCATTGTTGGTGCAATTCCTGAAAACAAATTTACACAATCATATTGTATGATTCATTAACAATATTTTTGTATATTGCTGAGTCGTATTTGTATCATTGTAGGATTCTTGCTACTGGGGACTCCTTCAGGACCATTGCAAGCAGCTTCAGGGTGGGCATCTCCACCATCTCCAGCATCATCCCAGATGTGGTGGCAGCCATCCGGGACGGCCTGGTGGAGGAGTTCATGCCTGTGCCCGGAGAAGAGGAGTGGAGGTTGTCTGCTATGGAGTTTGAGGAGCGGTGGAACTTCCCTCTTTGTTGTGGTGCTATAGATGGGAAGCACATCAACCTCAAGGCACCCCCCAACTCAGGCTCCCTCTACTTCAACTACAAGGGTAGGCACTCCTTGGTCCTCCTTGCTATTGTAGATGCCAACTACAAGTTCAGGGTGATTGACGTAGGGGGCTATAGCAGAACCAGCAATGGAGGGATCCTGGCCAACTCCACCTTCGGTCAGGCTCTGCATGCGGGAACACTTCCTCTGCCAGCTGACCGGCATCTCCCTGGAGCAGACCACCGAGGCCCCCTGCCCCATGTCTTCGTGGCAGATGAGGCCTTCCCACTGCGGAGGAACTTAATGCGGCCTTTTCCAGGAAGTGGCGGCGCTAAACCTGGACAGCGCATTTTTAATTACCGCCTCTCCCGAGCCCGGCTGGTGGTGGAGGATGCGTTTGGCATTTGGTCATCGCAGTGGAGGATGTTTCGTCGGGACCTCGAGATCCGGCCAGAAGTCGTGGAGAAGTGCGTGAAGGCCACATGTGTTCTCCACAATTTCCTGAGGGTGTCGGCTCCGGTCCCAGTCCTGAGAGGAGCTGCAGCGCAGGGAGATGACTGTCTTCCAGGTGTCGGGAGGATGGTTGCCAACAACGCCACCAGAGAGGCACTGCAGGCGAGGGAGGCGTTCATGGCCCACTTCTGTGAGGAGGGGGCAGTAGCATGGCAGCCGACAGAGTAGTCAGATCCTCACGGGACTGACCCAAAACGGTTCTTTTAAGAGCCACCCATGAAAACTAAAGAGCATTTCTTCTTTAATAATATTTGAGTGTCTGTATTTGCCAATGCATTACTTTTGAATATCAGGACACAAATACTACAACATCCTGATCATGAATTCTAGTCTTGGATAAAGACCATGTCTATGTTTATCCAGTATGTTTTTTAACCATTCACCTGTGCCCTTCTTGTTTGCAGGTAATAGTTCCAGATTCTGCAGCTGTCTCCGACTTCACAACATGTTCAAGCATGGCCTCAATTTTAATTATGTCAACTATTTCTATTATAATTTCTATTGTCTCATATTTAGTGATAACGTGTTTACGAGTAAAGTTCTCCTTAATTGAAGTATTTGAAATTAGTGATATTTAACTTATTTGAACACATACCTTAATGAAAAACCTGTACATATTTAAAGTAGCAGACCAAATCTTAAGTTATAAATTTTTTTATGAAATATGTAAAAACAAATATATACACAAAAAAGAACAGGAACAGGAATAAAAAGGACCTTGCTTGGAGGAGGAGGAGGAGGAGTGCAGGAAGGAGAAGAGTCTGTTTCCTCCCCTGCAAAAGAAGCCACCTCATAGCTAAACACTACTACTAAGTGTGCTCCAATTGTTCCACATTAAGCTCAAATGCGCTGCTCTCATAAAGTAATTTATGAATTTGGAATTTGACAAATTCTAAAGATTGAGGTGGCACCTTATCCAGGAGAGGAAGCAGAGATTGGAGGAAGAGCTCATTTCGTGATGGAGCTGGAGCTGCAGTCTGCCGCAGGAGGGCCATCAGCTCCAGCTCCAAGCGCGATAGCTCCTGGGCGGAGGTGTCCTGGGTTGTGCGCTTCCTCGCTCTCTTCCTTTGTGGACCTGCAAACACCACAAGACAATGGCTTTAAAAATATAAAGTAATGAGTATGTAGGATCTGATAATCTAT